TCTACATCATAGAGTTATACATGTTGGTATTTTTCACTGTAAGGGCTGTCTCTATGGTTGCTGAACATCTTGGCATAATGAATGACTTAGAGCTCCATCTAGGGATGACAAAGCCTGAACACAATGTCAAGTGTAACTAAGGATTCAGAGAGAATGTATTTTAGTTAAATCTGAGAGGCTATCTTGAGGAATGGAAGTATTGTACTGGATTCAGCCTGGGATTTTTTTGGCAGTAGAACATACGGTGTGAGAGGAAGTGTAAGTGGAGCCAACATGTTTTCCTTGGCAGCTTGGCTGGGTCAGTGTTGCATGTGCAGTGAGCTATCACCATGCGTGTGGTGACCACAGATACATCTCTGCCACCACTTTCAGCTTAATGAATGGCTGCTTGTCACCTGGGTTTCAGTAATGTCTCACATGTCTTCTCCTAGCCTTCTCTAACTGCCAAGTTTAGCACCCTTCATTGGTGTGAGAAGCAAAAGAAACAGTCAAATTAACATATCTGAGCTAAAACACACTGGTAGTCACATAGCATTCTGAAACTGTTAGATGATGTACAGGGAAAAGTAGCTCACAGTTTTAAATATTTTCTTCAAAATTCTTCTTTCAGATAAGACAAACTATGGATTGTTCTAAGAGAGCAATTTTAGATCAATTTACCTTACATATTGATTGGAAAAACATTTGGAGATAAACTGCCCTGTGACCAGCTAAGCTTTGTTTTTGGGACCTTCCAGGGATTTGTCATAGCAGAGAGCTGAAAGGAGGCAGTGGACAAGGGAGAATAGAGCTGGGCAGGGAGAGGCAAAGGGAACTGTTTGGTTTCTGGCTGCTTTGAAGATGTCTTAGGAAATTGTCTTCCAAAGGGCAGGATGTAGCATGTGGGAAAATCTGCTTGTCAGTGAGCAGATGTGGAGTTGATTGTCCTGTGTGTGTTGTGAAAACTTCAAGCACTTGCTAAATGAATCTATTGACAGCCAAGTATTTTAAGAATTATCACAGTGCTGGGTTTTGTGTTTGATAACTGCAAAAAGAAAACTATCTTCATTGTGAAACATCCAAAAAAGACAAGAAATCTAAAATTAAAAGGTACATATTTTTATGGGAAATAGTTGCTTTGAATTGCCTTTTGATAAGTCATTACCAGTGGTGGTCTGCTTCTTTTTTTTCTTCTCTGACCTGATCTAATAATTCTTGTCTTCTTTTCCAGGATCTGATGAAGACTCTGAAGAAAAACAAGACAGTGAAAAACCAGTTGTATAGCAAATATGAGAGAGCAGGCAAGTTCCTTTGCATTAGAACCTGAATATTCCTAAAAATATTTTTTGTCTTCTTAGTTCCTCCTCAGTTAATTTGAACAGTGGGCCAACTCTCAGGAGTTCATCACCTTTGAACCCAGTCTTCCAAGACAGGCATCTTAGCAACCTTTGAGCAGGAAATCCTACCTGCCGAGCTCTTGAGAGCCTGTCGTTGGGGTCCTCTCTGCTGCTGAGTTCTGGTTAACCTGGGCCCAGGAGTCTGAGAGCTGTTTGGGATAATAGTGTAAAAGTCGGTAGTCTCGGGATGGAACACCTCCAGCATTTATTTGTTGGCTCTCCTGGAAAGGATAGTGCTGGACCTGACGTGTAAAAGCTCCTTTTTTTGGAAGTGGGGAGAGATAATTCTTTCGAGGTGGCAATGCAAGAGTGCTAGGAAGAGATTTTCTTTTAGTTTAGGTCTGGGACCAATATATTACTCTTGAAGATAGCATGAGCAAAACAACTTGGATTTTTCCCCTCTTCAGTCTGCTTAATATTTCAAATGGGTTACACTGGAGCAGCTGTATTTTAAGATTATTTTTTTTGTGTACTGTGGTTAAATATGAGAGGTTATTTCCTTATTTTGGAAATTACTTCATTTACTTTTGGAATTATCTTGTCCCATGCTTTCACTGCACCAGACATGGCAAACAAAGTGCAAACTAGGGGAGGTATTAAAAGTTCTTGAGAAGCTCAAGCTTCTGATTTGAAATCTTGTGCTTTACTGGAAGTGTGGATGACCTTTCCTTTTCAGCCTCCCTGTTTTCAGTATCTGTTTTCTTCACTCACATCTTCATTCATCCTGACTTATGTAATCTGTTACAGAAAGAAAATTTCTGAGGGAAGTTGTTGGGTTTTGGAAACTGGCAACAGAGTCTGTGGCTGACTTGCTGGTGGAGCTGCTGACAGGATAATTTATTCATTAGAAAGCAAAGGGAACGGTTCCCATGTACTGTAATACCTCACAAAGATGTACCATGTTGACATATGTATATTAAGTTGCCTCCCAGGTGGCATGAAAATATTTGTCCATTATATATTTTATTATTCAGTGATTCCTGAAGTTCATCTTCTAATGACTAGGTAATTACTGGAAAGTGTTGTCTTGTGTATCTAATCAAGAGACTTGTAATATAATGAAGTAAAAACTTCTCCATGGTGGAAGTATATTTAATGATTGTTGGCACTCACTAGGTAAAATTATTTCATGTTATTGCAAATTTGTCATTAGTTTTATGTTTACTTTTTTTAACTCCATGCATTTTCTTTTTTAACAGATATGTTCACTTTCTAAAATAAAACTGTTAAAACATGGGTAATGCATGATGATATTTTGTTGCTTTATCAACTGAAAGTCTTCATTTACTACTCCTTTATTTCTTGTGGGTTAATGAAGATGTGAATTTGAATAGGTTGTGTGCAGAATGTGTGCTAGTGCTGTTTTATATGTGTTACAGTGCTGTTCTGTATTTATATGGCTGCCTGTAGGGAGGCAGTGGTAGTGGAACATCATTTCTTTGTTGCATAGATTATATCAAAAGGATGCAAGGAGCTTTTTGAAATAACTTAGTTCCTCTTCTTGTACTGGTGGTGGATGTTTTTCAGGTTCAAGGAGAAACTGGAATAATTGAGCCTCCAGCAGTGAAAGGAAGGTATTCAGTTGTTCTGTTTAGGTGTACAAGATACATATTTTTAGATACAGATCTTAAGTGTTAACTGATGCTTGATCAGAAAAGTGTTGGGTAATACCTAATTCCTACCTAAAGAGGAATGTTTTGTCACTTTCCTTATATAGCCATTAGGATTCATGAGCAACCTGCAGAGCAGATATTAAGTACTAGTATATTCTTCACATGTTAACACATGTATGGACAATATTGCTTTGTAATATTTCTATTGCTATGGAACAGAAGCCCAGTGAGTAGAAGACAGGAGGAGCTGTGGTCTGTCTCTTCCAGTCAGCTTTTTTTTGAAGCAGTAGTGACAGTTTCAGGTTACAGGACTTTCTCACTAAAAGTACAAATCAAAAGCCAGTCCTCAAAGCATTAAAACATATTTTGGTTTCTCCTTAGTCTCAACAAATCCATAAACTAGCAGTAGGGGCTTGTAAGCCACTGCAGTTGTGAAACAGCCATGAACCTGATGAGCCCCAGGAATTGCAGATGGATGCAAGTGTTCAAACCTGTTCAGAGCCAGGTGGAGGCAGCAGTTGTTGGTTTCTCTTTTCAGCTTTGGCTATGAAAAGCTGCAAGTGGATTGGGAGATCATTTATTAAAAGGGATCTTGAGTCACTAAGATGATCACTTGCTTAGTTTTCCTGCTGGAGTTGAGGGTACAGGACCAAATGAAGACCATTCTGGGGGCAGTACAGGGGAAAGGAGAGGAAGAGATGGGTATGAAAGTGATGCTATTGAAGGCTGCAAGAGCTACACTTAAGCAGATGTTCTGAGAATACCTTCACAGCCATTTTATTCACTTTAGTTGCTATGAAGCTTTAACAGGAAAATCATTATCTGCCTTTTTGCTTCAAATAACAGTTCTATAAATAATTGTATGACTAAAGACTAGGTAGCCTATCTTCCTTCACATTGAAGATCAATACACACCAAATGTAGTTAAGTGGCTGTTATATTTGCTTCAGGGTGCTCTTTCTAAAATTCTCTTTTGTGGCTGCTGGATTAAAAAATAAGCCAGGATCAAGTCTATTGCTTATGTCACTTCAGCAGTTCCAGAGGATCCAGGTAAAAATAAATCCTTAGAAGAAAAAAAAAAATAATCAAAACCTGTCACTTAATGCTGGAGTGTTCTGAACCAAACAGTAAACTCAATGAGAAAAACACATCTGGGATAGGAGGTCAAAAATTCCATTAAATTGGTGAACTTCATCTATGTGCATGACTTCATTGGAACACCTTCCTCAACCTGTAATCTGGAATTCATCTTGAAATCTAAGAAATGTTACCTTATTCTCAGTGCCTGCTCTTTCCTGCAGTTCAGTACTCAGAAAAATTAGGAAAGATTAATTAGTATAAGATCATTAGCTGTAAAGCAGAACAAGCCTTATGCATTACTGATGGAAAATCAGGGGGATGGGGTGGGGAGGGGGTGTGTATTTTGTTATCCCAAGCATGAATATCTGGCAAACTTGAGTTAAAGATTTTGCAAACCTTTTGTAAACTACATTGAGGTTTTCTGTATATTGAGTTAAATGAGATGTCTTGTTTTCTTACATTGGTTGTTAGCTGAGGAAATTATTGCCTCACAGGTGGGAAGTGAACAGCACCTGCAGTTCACACACACATGCAGTGGTGCTGTTCACCCATATGCAGATGCCCATTGTTTTGGACCTGTATGAGATGCTTTCCTGCTGCCAACTGCTGCCCTTCAGGAATATTTCTCAAAGTTGTCCCTTTCATGATCTTTGCACAGCAGTAGTGCTTCAGCTTATACCAGAACCTTTTTCAAACAGAACAAACATCTTGGGTTTAGACATAGCTAAAACAGTTCTTTTTATTCTTTGATCAACTGAAGGAAAATAGACCATTTGCTATCATGTTAGTATGGTATTAAATCCTCTCTTTCTTTAATCATTATTCCAGCTTTATCCTAAATAGAAGTGTTTGTGTGAATGGTGTCTTTCTTTAATCATTATTCCAGCTTTATCCTCCTAAATAGAAGTGTTTGTGTGAATGGTTCATATCCAAAAACCAGTCTATATAAATAACTACTTGTTCAACATCTCTCAAAAACTTTATACAGGTCAGGCAGGTTCGCAAGCTGCAAAATGTTGCCATCTTCTGTAAAGTGCTTAGGAGGTAAAAGATGAGTCCTAAAAGCTTTGTAAAGTACGTGTTCCACAGTCCATTTCCATGTAGGTGAACCAGAATCAGAATCTTCATTCTAAAACAGAAAAGAAAAAGGACAAACAATTAAACTGAAATTCTCTTTTACTAAAGGAGAACACTCCTTAAGAAACGATTATGTGAGACTACAGAGAGTGTAACATTCTGCCAGTATAGAGAGGAAGTTCATTCAATACAGTCAAGTTAATTTTTAGCTCTGGAAAGTCTATTTGAGTGGTGTCAGTTGCAGAAGGGGCTATCTCAACTGAATAATTAAGCAGATACTTAAGACACAAGCAGACTATATTTTTAATTTATATACATGCCTATTCTTCTATAGTAATTTATCATAGCTCAGCAGATAGAACCCAAACTCTGAGGCCAAGGACTGCTGTAATATTAAGTACACTCCATTGCCCAGTCTTAAAATGTTCTCTTACTACCTATAATACTTCAGAAATTTTAAGCCACATTCTTTTAGGACCTTGCCACACTGCTAACTGAGTTGGGTCTAGAAGTCAACAGCTGAAAAAGTTTCTTGTGTGTTGTTACATATTCTTGTACCTGAGAAATAGTAAGGTTGGCTTCATCTACTATGTATTGCTTTCTAATGGAGTAGAACATGGCTAATTCTTTACTTAGGCTTTCAAAACATTCCTTTTCTTCATCCCAGTTTACCTGTTATAAGAAAAAGAAGCCAGTTAATACAATCTAGGTAGCAGTCGGAAACAACAGATTCTTAATGTGGGAAAGTCATAACAACGTGTTGGCCATGATTGTGCTGATAAATGTAAAGGGATAGAACAAAAACAAACAAAAAGGGTAGAAATGCAAGCTTTCAAATCAAAACATATTCTCATTCAGTCAGTAGTTAGGCATGCAGAGGCAAAGCACAACTGCTCACTAACCATAGCAAAAGTATCCAGAACATATAACAGTACATTTAACAAACTCCAGCCTTTCCTTTGCAGTTTCTGATAAATTAATTTAATTCACTTCATTCTTTCCTAAGTAGAAAAAAGTAATTTGTGAGTGAATAAAAGAAAAAGACTCTACCTCTGTGGCCAAGCGAAGGATAAACATAGGCAGTCCTTCCAGTGGCGGAACGTAGTTGTCTATCAGAAGTGGTAACCCAGTAAGGTTTCCTTCCTGCAAGGCAATGCTGCTGCTTCAGTTAAAAAAAAGTCCTTTCTTGCAAGTAAATGCACCAAAACCATTACATAGTTGTCACAGTTTGACTCAGAATCAGCAATTAAACCAGCGAGAACAATTCTCTTGATTCCCTCCCACCCAGGTAGGGAAGGAGAGAGAGAACGAGAGAGAGACTCTCTGGATCAAAAACTAAACTAGACAGCTTTAATTAAATATGAATAATAAAATAAAATATATACAATTATATACAAATGTGTTCAGGAATGTGCAAATCCCTATTGCCTTCAGCAACTCCCACAGCTCAAGCCAGGACAACATTGTAAGACTGATTCTTACCAAACTCAGTGAGCCTTGTAAAGCCTGATGCCAGGCAGACAGTCCAGGAAGCAGGTTAGTGGTGGTGTTTAACTTCACAAGGCCTAGATTTAAGCCACTCAGCTCAGGAAGACTTGAATTCAGCTCCTCCTCTAACTCTAGTCACTGACTACAGAGATCCCACTTTGAAGGAGAATATCAGAGTGCAGTGTTTGGGTTACATGACCCTTGAAGAAGCTGCTCAGTTTTGTATAGAATAAGGGAAGCATCGAACCACACCCAAAAAAAAGACACTGATGGCAGTGGTGATGCTAGAGAGCTGGTTAAACTGCACACCTTGTTGGGTAAGAGATCTGCATCCTATTTAGGAAAGCAGTGACTAAATTATTTTATTTGGAAACTAATTAAACATTTTTGTGTAGCTCCCTTCTAAGAGCAACATAAGTCCTGAGCATTTTTAATTAAAGTACCACCTTGCCTACATCTTCCTGAGGTAGTTCTTAGAGAAAATAAGTACTGCAAGCAAACTATTGCAGTTTATCTGTTACCAAAATGTAGAATCATAGAATCATTTAGGTTGGAAACTTTTAAGATTATCAGGTCCAACCATAAACGTAACACTGCCCAGTCCACCATTCTTTTTCTGTCAGAAGTATAAAGCAATCACCTTATCAATTTCAAGAGAAAAATAATCTTTCAGCATTTCAGTCTTCTTTGTGAGAAACTCCACAATGTATTCAGCAAGCTCTTCTTTTGGGCCATCTTCTTCTGTCCAGCCACTTTCAGGATCCTCTAAAGCAAGCATTGAAAGCTCATATAAAGGAGCTGGCTCCTAAAAACATGAGAAGGTAAAAACTGTTCAACAAGTTCCATTGGAACTTTATAGCTTCTTCCTTCACCTGTAAACTAACTAATGTTTCTGGCCTGCAGAGCAGACAGTTCTGTCTATCATAACCAGTCTAAAAAGTATGAGTTTCTTTCCAATGTAATTCTGTACAGCTTCAAAGTGCTGTGATATTTATAGGATAAACACTAGCAATAAACAATATTTCTGATACTGTGCATTCAAATTAATTATTTGTCCCAATGTAACAAGCAACAGCAAGATTTGGTGAATATCTAGGAGTGACACTACTTGATAAGCAGCTAGGGGGACAACTTACAGTAGTAGCTACAAAATTACTAACAGTGTTTTCTACATTCAACATTCATTCTTACTGTAAATGAAACAAAACATTGCTCCTGTATTGGACAAAAATGAGCAGGTGAAACTGTATTTACTTGCAAGGACAGGCTTATTCTAAAGAAATCTTTAAATACCTTTTCATAAAGGATATAATGTAAAATTATACTTACAGACAACCTTAAGACTCCAAAGTTTGCAAAGTCGTAAATAAGTATCTGGTAGAAGAGTTCTTGGCTAAATTGAAGTACAAAAGTTAGTTATATGGACAGAATCTCCAAGTTTTGATTAAGAGGGGAAAGTAAGGGTTTTCTTGGAAACATCAGGTATACACTTCCATTCATATCAAAGATCCTACTTAACCTGTTTAAGATTCACACACACTATCTAGATGTTTACAATTAAATCTGTTTCTTGGTTTCTGACATCATCAGCCAAATTGGTGCAGAAATGTTACCTACTCAAGCAAACTGCTATCAGTTTATTCCCAAATACCTTATATTTCAGCCTCTTTGCTCCTTTGCTGCACTGCAAGAAATGCATAGGAGTTTGGAACTTGATAGACTTGTCTATCTTAAGTATATTCTCTTACTTGCTATAAAATATATGTAGCTGGCCTTGTAAGGCTGCAGGTGTAGAAATACAAGCTTCGTATTAGGATCATGTCCTGCAGCTTAACCCAACAGTGGATACACAGTTTTACAAGACTTTTCTGAAGCCTCTGCTTGCTCAGCTTTATACAGTGTGCTGTAGACAATCACAAAGCATATCAAATGGCTTTCCCTCCCTCTGGTCTGTGAGCACACAATACAGTAGCTGGCATCTTACTTACTTACACAGACTCCCTGCAACTTTTCGCAAGCATGCCAGACTTGTTTGTACTGTGTTTGAGCTGGTTTCTTCATCTGTAGCCTCATGACTTTCCAGTTAAGCAACAAGAAAATTATGTTTTTCCTGTCATTTCCTTCCTTCTTTTGATTAGCTTAGTAATTGGTACTTATTTCAACTGCTAGCAAGTCTAACAATTTCTTTACCTGAGTCTTGTTGTATTGAGAAGATACAGTTTTGTCTGATACTGGGCCAGAGCCCACTGAGGACTGACGCAGCCAACAAATGAGTGATCATGTAGCATCTCCTGAAGATCTGAAACAATTGAGAGGGTGAGTAAGAAACAAAAGGATGTAATTTCATATTTGCAGCCCTGTCCCAAGTTATTTAGCTGAGTAGTTTGTGTCTTTTTAGCTCTAAAGTCTCAGTGCAGTCAGCAGTCACTACTGTACCCCTGCTTCTTCTTATAGGCTTGTGCTGTCAATCATTCACATTTTGAAATATTTGCATACATACACATTTAGATATGAAAGCAGAAGTGAGAATAGTCATAGAACAGTTAAACTAAAAATGCAAATTAAAAAAAAACAAGCACAGAACAAAATCACTCTGTATTTTACTTGAATAGTTTTCAAAACTAATTTCCAGCCACAGGAGGTTAGTAAGGGAGCACAGGCAGGCTTCAAAGAAAGCTGCAGATGTAAAATAACTCTGCAACAAAATCTAGCATTGTCAGAATAAATCCTGAAAGTGTGACAGAATAGGTCCATAATTCATTTATTTTCCTCTCCCTAAAAAAGGTTTCTGGCCTTCTCATTTATATACATTAAAAAAATCAAATAAATAAAATAAAATAAAGTCAAATTCCATAATACAAGTTTAGTGGCATTTTTTTGTGGAATGCCTAAACTGGTTGCAGTCCTTCAGAGCAGCTTAGTTCCAGGAGCTTGGCACTGCAGACACAGCACATCCAAAGCACTACACTACCCAAATTCCCTGTTGCAAGGAAATACAATATTGAGAGAAGAGTATTTCATTCTTGCAAAGGTCTCTTGTAGGTGTTTCTTACACATGTGAAGACAGGACACAACCTGATGCAGCTGCACAAGTTCTACCATTTATTTGGAGAAATCTGGGGACACTGTGGCTCAGCGGCAACTCTTCAATTGCAGCATTTAAACAGTGACAGTCAGATATGGAATTACCAGCTCAGAATTACCAGCCTAATGCAAAACTTTTCCTGGAGCAGAACAGAAGTATAAGTGTATACTTTATCTAAAAATTTTCAGTAATTTATAAAAAAAGTTACTTATTACAGGTGTCTGTTACTCTAGCCATTTTATCTGTGGAACATCCCCAATTTTTACTAACAGAAATATCAAAATAAATTCAACAAAACCCCCAGAAGACAAGATTCCCAATGTTCAGACTGAGTACTATGGGTGTGTGACCCAGTATGACTCTGAAGGCAACTGAAAAAGCCAAGAGGGAAACAAACCTAGGAAGAACTGCAAACCTCTCACCTTTTTTCTAAAACAGAGTTGTTTTTAGAGTTTACCAAAAGAGAGAATAATATTTCACCAGTCTTATAATTTCATCTAAGTGGCACAGACAAATGAAAAGCAAAAGCAGTAAACAGAAACAATGAATATCAAGCATGTCCCACCCTACATCACCATTATGCAACTAAGCAAAATTTTTCTAATCACCATATATTGTAGCTGCCATTTCTGTTGGAATAGTATAAAATAACTCAGTTTCCCAAGCTGTGGTGTTACAGTGTTCCTCATTATAATGCAAGTTCAGGTTCACAAGATACTTAGAATGCATAAAACCTCTATCCACTAACAAGGTACACAGCAGTTTTTACAGTGGTTCTCAGTGTGGCTCATTATGGCAGCTGCCTCTTCAAAGTTTGGTCCTCAACGTTTATCAAACACTTTTGTTAAAGGTTCATTTGGCAGCACAGTGAGTTGATTGGGTCACCTTCTGAATATCTTTTTTCTCATCAGTTCAAACAATCATATTTAGTTAGTGGGATAACAATAATAGTGAGAAGGAAAAAGTTTGCCTACTTGCATGTGCCTGGTTGCTGATTTCTTCTTGGAGAGTCAATACACTGGTCAAGTTGATAATTCTTCTTTTAGGGGTGCAGGCAGCAGTCATGACCTTTCTCGTGTCATCTTTTTCCATTTCTACATCCATGTCTTCCCGTGGTCTCTTTCTGCAATACCAAAACAAGAGGAATTCTGTTCAGTTCTCCTGTCATGTAAGCAAAACACACATGCAACAGATGGGATGCTCTTCGTGTGCTTTACATGAACACAGAAAATGCAGGTTTCCCAGAGCTCCCCAGAAACACTGTTTCATTTTAATTTTCAGACATAATTTGTTAGGAAAAGGTAGTTCATAAGAGAACTGACAGCTTTCTGATACCAATCACATCAGACATCTGTTGTTTAAGCACCAAGACAACTGGGGTCTAAAGGACTCAAAAAATATTGATATTTCTAATTTTTTTCATGATAATTTTTCTGTAATACTAGGGAGGGAGGAATTAAAAAGAAAAAAAAAAATCAGATTCCCTCAGAAGACATGGGCCTCTCATAACAGCTCCTTGAGGAGCTGAAAAAAAGATTACAGCACTTCTGTCTGTACTAGGGTAACACCTGCAGAATTAATCTATGTAGTTTTTAATCTTTCTATACCCTCACAAAAGGAGGGCCTCCAAATAGAGACAGACCAGTACGATCTCCCTAAACTAAAGTTAATCTCATCATTTCTGCTGTCTCCTGCCTTTTGGTATTCATGGAAATCCCATTCCAGTTACAAAACTTAGCAGTAGTTTTGTAATTTACACTTCATAGATGAAGTTCAACTTCTCATTAAAATGCAACGGAAAGTTATTCCAAGGAAACTTTCCCTTACAAAAAAGCAGAAATGCAAAGAGATCAGAAAAACCTTTGGTTTCAGGGCCATACCATGTAATAAATAGGTAGCCTTGCATGACCTGAGGAGAGATAAGACTTACCGAGGAGGCACTGTCTCAGGAGACAAGCGTCCACTTTCACTCATCTCCACAGGTACCACTGTGTCCTCCTCAACATCAGCCATTTCCACAAGATCACTGACATCTTCCATTTCAGACTCCTGTGGCCTGACCACACTCTCTGGAGGTCCTGCATTAGTCTCTGTTGTGGCTTCAGTGGGGCCTGTACTTAGGGGGTTGTTCACTGGCTGAAGAAAAGCATCCAATTTCTGCTCTCGGGAATCAGTGCGGACCATCTGATGTGCATAAACTTTATCGCTGGTTCCTTTGGTAACCGCAGAAGAGTTTGCTGCTGATTTTACAACCTCGCTGGAAGAACAATCGGCCCCCGGAAGCAATGTCTTTGTTCAGGCATGGGGAAGCAAGGAAAAGAGATTCAATAACAAGATCAAAACCCACAAAGATCAGCCACGTTCGTCACAGCATCTTACTGCTCAGAGGCAAGTAACTTCCAAGCCCCACAAACACCATGTCAGTGCTTAAACGCACTGCCAGCTTTGCACTTGCTATACACGTAGCATGAATGCCACCATCTTGACAGTCAGTGAAATCATTAGTTAGCATTCCCTTGCCTCAGAGAAAACGTTTAATGTAAAAAAGCACATGGAAAATGTTTTTTAAACTATTATAATTCTTACATTATGCTCTATATAATGAGATTAGGAAATATTTTTCCTGATTTTTTTAATTTAGATTAAATTCCAAGTGTGAAATACACGAGTCAATCGATTTCCTCAGTTGCTTGCGTGTCACATTCACCAAGGCATAATAAAAACAACTTGCCACATGTGAAGACTAATATACTTGTAAAATAAAAAAAACCCTCAACAGATACTTGACAGGAAGGTATACAAAATATTTTCATGCACTTTTTCTCCAGCAAGTTCGCTGCCACATTGTTAATTTAAGTATATGAAGGCAATTTTATCCCTGAAACCGAGCAAAGCTCTCAAGCTACCAGGGTAATTATCAACCACTGCATAAATTGTACTATTGAACTGATTAAACATATACACAAGACTTAAAAAGCTGCAGAGCTGTGGCCAGTTGAAGCATATGTTCTCACCTGAGTAAAGTACATCCTTGAAGAATTGGAGCCCAATAACTTGCTCTCTACATGCTGTTGCACACATTCAAGAATACTGTCTTCATGAAGGAAATGGACCTCGTGTTTTGTAGGGTGCACATTCACATCTACATTTTGGGGGGCTATTTCCAGGCTGGAAAACATTTTTAAAAAGAAGTTAACCTAAACATTTCCCATGGATGGTAGAGAGGGTGCGAATTGGTTCTGTACAGAGTTTGTCAGACTTGAGGCTGTTAATCCATGCAAAGAAGCCAAAAGGGCTCTGAAACTTGCTAAAGTCATACAAAACAAATATGACTGTAGCATACTGGGAATAATTACTCTGAAGAACTCAATTCAGAACTCACTATAATCAGCTTACATACGTGATCTTAAACCATTGTACTACTACAAAACAGTTTTTAGAAATAACTTTTACTTGCACTGTCTCCTGAGTTCACGACTTCTGCCCCCTGTCATTTTGCAATGATCCCAAGCAAGCATTCAATTAAATGCTGCAATAGGAGAACTTTATTGTTAGAAAGCACTGAGTATCAGTAAGTTTCATTGGTGAATGGCAAGATCCAATTGCTTACCAATTACAAAGCCAGCTTTTCCATTATATGTCATATTCTCTAATTTTTAAAGGCCTTTCTGTTCAGCTTTAGCTATTGATCTGTAAAAAATTATTAATTTCCTGGAAGCAGTATGCAATTCACTTCTTTTTATTGCATTAGCCTACCAAGAACAGTAATTGTTAAAAACACTGACACAAATATAAATCCCAGCAAGGTAAAATGTTAATGTATTTGGAATAAATGATCTGAATGGTCCTAAATGCTCTGCTGTATTCTTAGCACAATTCACTATCCAACGTGAAGAGCATCCATAATATGAAAGGACTTAAGCTGAAATTATAGACACTCACTGCTTCTGAGAATAAGGCCAGTCTTCTTAAGATTTCTTTAATATCATGGAATTGTTTCCTGTTTGGCAGGCAAGTACGTCAGTGCAGTGCTTAACACTGCTATCAGAAACACAAATGTCTCTCTAAACCCACTGACCCAAGCTAAATCCTACCAGATAGTATGAAAAGGCTACATCTTCCTATTTATTTACCTTAGGTATAGGAAAGGATGTGTGCTTTTTGGCAGATAAGCAGCATACACAGTTTCTATGGCTTTCCGCAAAGCAGTCGACTCTACCAATCGATCTGAAACACAATGCAAAGTGCTGTTTTCAGGCAGCCCCACTGAAACACACACACACACACAGAAACACACTGCAGTGTCCAACTGCTCCTTCAGGCCAATATCTTCATGCTTTGTAGGGCATCTGTTACAAACATTTTCTCCTGAGACATATTTATTCTTAACATAAAACCAGGAATAGGCAGAATCTTCTTACTATGTTTTGTATTTAGAAGTATTTTACCCCCCCCATAAATATTTAAATAACCAGACTGCCTTTTCATTATTTCATGCAGTTGAGGTTTGTGGCATCCCATGCTTATGTTGCTACAGAATGGAGACCGCTCTGCATAAGCTGGTAGGACACAATCATAACCTCAATACTTCATCAGCTTTAGTCTCTTTACGCCCAGTCTTTGCAGTTTTCCACTATTAAGAGTGCAAAACTTGATGCACATTACAAATAGAAAAACATCTTAAGTTCTACAATTCACTGTAATACTTATTCTTCAATGTTTTTAAGATCGTTCCTACATTTTGTGGTTCTTCAGAAAGTTTTGTTCTCATTATTATAAAAGAAACATATGACTGTACAACCTCCTGGGGTTTTTTTAACTTACGGTTTATGAAGAGTAAAAATGCACATTTCTTCACGGAGTAGTTTGCATTTGTAATGTAGCCTTTCATTTTAAAGGCCAGACCTGCATCTTCACAACCCACTTCTATCAGTTCCCTATTGATGGGTTTGACAGAAACATGCACAAAAATTATTTTTTTCTGTTGATAAAATTTCAAACAGCATAGTGATATATTGTTGTATATGCTATTTATATGACAGTTAATGAAAATACTGGAATTATCTGAGAGTTCAAACAGTCATTGCTGAGTCACAAAAGTTATTTAACCTGAACTGCATCATTTCACCTTCCTAACTAAACGTAGGATAGTCACACAGTATGACTGGAGTCTGTAAAACTATTCACAGTATCTTTTTAATAGATATCACAGTATCCATAATATTATAACCATCTACTGACAATTCTAATATGCATTTCACCATGTAAGTCATTGACAGAGATAGAGAAGGACACTTGAAAATGGTCAGCAGCTAGGGAAGAATATTCTTTTTCTTTAACTACTCTGTCCACTTTTACCAGCCTAATATTTATTAGTGGGCTGTTAAGAAGTCATAAAAATGTGAACACCTTTTTCTTGCTCATGCATACAGATCTTAGCATTAGCAACTTTCATAACAGTTTTTATAATTTTTTATGATTCATTAGCTAAGGAAATCCACTTTGGTATTTGGAAGGCAACCAGGACAGTTGGCAAGGCATTGTGCCAACTTCTAAAGTTGACATGGAAAAGGTTTATGGGCTACTTATTTCAGATTCAACCTCAATATAAATGAAGTGACATTTTTATTCGTGTTCATTCTTTAAGTCAAAACTACAAGCTAGACTAAACATCTTAAATCGGATAAAAGTTTCACTTTAAATCACCTGATCAAAATATTTAAGATGAAATGGACAATTTATTCAGAACTTTACAAAGGAAAAAGTGCATTAAATAAGCATTAGTAGTATGCAAAAAAAGCATAACCAAGATACACAAACAGCACTGCAAACTTTATCACTAAACAGCCTCTCTATTTTGCTGTTTCTTAAAGATGTTTACAAGTACTAAATGTTAAATTCCTTACATGTGAAGTGTGATTTTAATTCAATGTATAACTGAATCCAATTGACACTCAGGTATTCACGGGACAAACCCATTCCACAAGTTCCTTCAATTAATTCTTTACACCTGAATGTCTTATAAAAAGAGACTTTTCCCTATAGTGACAGATAAATTTTCAGAGGATTATTGGTCTTATGTGTTTTCAACTCTTCTGCCTGGATTACTCAGCTTCAGCTGATGTAGCTTTTGTTAAAATATTAAACCATAAGATTTCTGAAAAACAAATTTGAGACTTCAAAATTTATCAGATAGACTGTGGTAAGAACTGTAAGATTTTCATGGTGTGGGGAAAGGCTGAGAACTTGTAGAGAACATAAGTACAGTTTGCTCTTTTTAAATGAGCACACAGAAAGTTACAAGCAGGTGGTTTCCTCTTAGTGCATTAAAAGAACAACTTTGCAACTTCCCTCTTTCCATTGATATAACAACAACAACAAAAAAAGTCACACATTCTGCAAGAGAAGGGAGCTCTTTTTGCAACACTCCTCTATAATTCACCTTGAAAGAAGAAGGAAAAGCAGCCCATGTTCTTTAAAAGAGAGAGGAGAAGGAGATTTGCTAGAAAACTTCGTGTCAAAAGGAAACTTGACATTAACGTACCTGCTAACAGCATTTCCAAAGATTGACCTAATGTTATCCACTGTTGAAGCATTTGATAAGGTCCTAACATCTGACACAGTATCACCTTGCTAAAGAGAGTAGAAATGAGATTCACAGTTCTGGCTGAAGTTTTAGAAACACACTAAACTTAACATTTCCAACACAAACACAGAGGACATACAATCATGATAATGTTTTGTATTATTTGCACATTTGTGTTCTGAAAAGCAACAGACGATAAATGGCACAGGGTTACAAGATTTGCTAGGTCACATCAGACCCAGTCAGGCTAGTAACTCCTTCTTGGAACGTGAGAAACATAAGCACTTCAGTAAATAATTCTCCGGAATGCCACAGAATGAAGGTGCTCCACCCCATCCTCTTTCTTACAGTTTTTAGTAGCCAGATTCTCAAAAGAAGGTGAAACAGCTCAAAGCTGAAACAAAATAACACTTTGGCCACACAGAAAACTCCAAATTCCTGACAAATACATTCTTTTCTTGTTTATTTTTAACTAAGGTGTTTTCTATCCAAACTGCATCAACATACAAGTTAACATGTCAGCACAAGGGAAGGCTCTATACACTATTCCCATTGCAAAAAATGCAGTGCAGATTTTCTGGCATTTTCATATATACACATTATTTTATATACACACGCATTGAAGTTATAAAGAATTTTTGCATACCTTTTTAACTGAAAAGCTGATGCCTGAGTTATGGATGGCATACCTGAAAAACAGGGAAACATAACAGTGCAGGATGTGAAAACCAAGGTTATTTTCCCTGAGTGCTGAAAAGTGACTAGTAACAGGGGCAAACAATTTCATTTCCTGTTACACCATATTGTGGTTTGAGCCAAACTGAGCTTTTATAGACTAAAAAGCTATGAAAATAAATGTATTCTATTTATAATTTGTCTGTAACCATATGAAATTCAAGGATCAGCTTAGCTTATTTCTCAAAACAAACAAAAAAACCCCCACACAACAAAAAAACTGATCAACTTCTATAGACCTGGTTAGTTCAGTTTCATTGCACAACTAGAAGAACAGTAAAACCTTCTCAATGTAACAGAATCAAGTCTCAGCTGCTATGGAGAAGGATGTGAAAAATGGCTGGCTTGCCCTTCTAACTTCCCCTACCCACATGGCTCAGCTGTCTGTCACCCAAGGGCCAAGTTCTGATACACTGCAGCTGCATAACCCTGGCTCAAACTTCTGGAGAAGCTGCTAAGTTATGGGAAAGAACACACAGTAGAACCTTGCAAGATGGTTGTAAAAATAAAAGTGCAGAGGTTAGATTGCTGTGACTGGTACAGTTAGTAACTCAACAATTCAAGAGGAAAAAAAAAAATTAAATTAAAAGATGCAAAATCCTACTGGGGAAAAAAAACCCCAATCAGTTGGAAGCCTGTTACTCAGCAGGACTTCAGATCTGCCTGTTCCATGGACAGCAGGACCTGGCCCTTCATCTCCCAGCTGAAGTCTGCCAGTCAGTCTCCTGGCTGAAGTCTTCAGGCCAAACTGAAGTCAGTTTTTACTTGTATTCTATCCAGCCCAAGTTCATTGAGAGTTCACTCCTTCAAGTCTATCACCATTTTTTTGCTGGAATTCTCTCATAATGGTCATAGATGGACTACAGTGTTTCTCCTCTGGACTTTTTGGACTGTTATCTGACACAGTATACTAACAAATAGTTAAAAACCCTCAAAAGGGCAACAAAAAGTGACACCACACACACACATGCCAGGCTCTCTGGAAAACCTCAAATACTTGATGGCAGCAGAAAAAATTGAAGCCTCCTTTTTCAGTTTACCTGCTAACAACTTCAAGTATTTTTGCATATTCTTCATTGGGATTTTTTAAAGCTTTCCTCCTTGTATTTACATTGTAAAAAAGATCTTCAACCTGCAGAGAAAAAGATCACAATTAAAAATAATTTTTAATTATTTTTTTTCTCACCATGTAATTAATCTAAATCCATCCTCTTAATAGATAAATACTACACATTTTTCTGAGGACATTTTAATTTATGAAGGATCAACATTCAGTTTGTTCCTTAGCTGCTTAAGTTCAACTAAACAAAGGCAACTCCAGAGAAATTTCTGTTTTCAGGTACTTTGGTACATCAGTATTTTTACCATTAACAACAACTTCACAACTCACTTTTCAGTGAAAGTGATATGCTTTCCATTGCAGATAATAATGGATCCCCTGATTACATCCCCTGGGTTTTAATGAAACGCAAATAAATGTTAAAACAGTTGCTTCAATCACAGGTATTAATTATGTTAAAACAACAGTTAAAATTGTTAATTTCCATTGTTTATTTAAACAATATGCAAATTCTTCCTCTCCTATAGTAAGAAAGACAGAAATTTAAAGCTCAGCTTCTTTTTAAAGATACATTATCCTAAATATTGACATGTGAAGCTCCTTGGTTGTATGTTCCCACTGCTAGACAAACACACACCTGCTGACTCCAAGGTCAGGCTTCCACTTTCCACCCTACAGTGTGCAACATGCACTCTCCTTCCCATCCATTATTCTTCATAATAATTCCATTCATAATAATTCATAATTCCAATCCTAATCCCCAACCACATTCAAAGCTTGGTACATATAAGAAATATATTACTTAAAAACAAACAGCAGTTCTACAGCTTCCAGCCCTCATCTTTCCACTTCTCCATATTCTGAGCTTCTTGCTTCTAGTAGCCCTAACTGTCCATCTAAGCAGTCCAGAAAGGTGATGAAATATTTTGATAGTATATACCTATGCTGTCCCTCATAAGGAAAAGGAGAATAATTTTTTTTTTTAAACAGAGGGTCTGGTGAATTTTATGTTGCTGTCTCTGGGAAAGCAAAACAAAACAAAAAAACCACACAACAATATTATCTGGAGAATATTCTACAAGGTGATACTGTAATGTGCCTTACAATGTAACACATATCAATACCTGGTGCAAGAAGCAGGACCAGAGAACAGAGAGGGGGACCAGGGAACAAAGTGGACAAGAGAGAACAGGCACAGAAGCCTACCGTGATCTGAGTTCCTTGGTTGCCAGCACAGGGTTTTGGAGCAGCTTTAATTTTTCCATCACTGTAAGTAGCTCTAGGCAGAAAATAGAAACAGTTTACCCTACACTAGCTGCTGAAGTAGAATTTCTTTTAAGATTATCTTTCCCCCCCTATTTTTAATATATATGGTTTAGCTAAAAGCTTATCTTTACAATTTGGAATAAAAAATAAAAAAATAAATAGATTTTAAAAAATCACTCAAACTATGTTTTCTTACATTCTTAGTCTTTTTTGTAACTACCCTAGAAACACATGCCCCACCCTATTCTTTAACAAGCGCACCGAAAAGATAATTAAATGCATCTATTCATTATTACATGCAGCAGAAGTTACTTGGACAACAGGGAACGTACCTGTATGCACACTTTGCATCAGCTGTTTTAGTTGTTACTGTGACATGGGCAACATGACTGATGCTAGCCAATGCCTAGGGAAA